TGACCCAAGCACACGAGGTTTAACGCTTTAGATAAGAGGGAGCACACGCACGCAGCCGAAAGTTTATCATGGCCGACGGAGTAGAGGATCTGTCATGAACCCACCGGGGCAACCCCGAAACCCTGACTGACAACACCTGCATGCCTGCTCAGCTACAGCGTCCACCGTAGCGATGGAGAACGCCGGCCCCTTGGTACAGTTAGAAACCTGGCTGTGAGTTTCCTTGGGCGCAGTTACTGCCGTCTAACCCCGAGGATCTGTCATGAACCCACCGGGGCAACCCCGAAACCCTGACTGACAACACCTGCATGCCTGCTCAGCTACAGCGTCCACCGTAGCGATGGAGAACGCCGGCCCCTTGGTACAGTTACCCTGCCCCAGGGCGTAAGGGAGGCCCAGGCTCAGTCACGGGCAGGTACAGGGTGAGTTGCTGTGTCTGGCACGTTCTCAAAACCCAGGAGCAGGGAAAAAGTTGTCCCATGAACCATGCGTGTGTGTGACCTTTCCACATTCCCAGAATGCTCTGAGCTCGATGGAACAGCCTCTGGCTCTAACTGTCCCCCTCTATGTGTCACGTCCTGCACCCAAGCTCCTGAGCGGAGGGGGAAGAGGAGACAGCTCCGCTAGTGTTAAATGCCCGCAAAGATGCTCAGCTTGACCCTACGGCTCGATTCTATCCTCAGCGCTGCTCTTGTCAACCTAGGGCTGGTGTAATCAATCGAGAGCCACACCCGCAGTAACCGGATTTACATCAGCATGATGGCTTTCCCATCTCTCCCCTCACTCAGCTGGAGGCAGACGAACTGCGATTGCTACTGTGGACAGCCTCCATGCACGCCCCTCCATGCCTCCCCAGGAATTGGGGGATGGGGTTCAATAGGCACTTGTATAGGTGAGTGTCATTGCCAACACTTGCAGAATGCACAGTGGCTTAGCGTCGAGACTTTCTGCTAACAACTGTTAATGCACGGCCTTTGGCAATAAAATTGCTCGACTGGTTTCATCCTTGCTTGAAGTGGTCATGTCCAGGAACTCTCAGAGGTCTACTGTGTTGACCCAAGCACACGAGGTTTAACGCTTTAGATAAGAGGGAGCACACGCACGCAGCCGAAAGTTTATCATGGCCGACAGAGTAGAGGATCTGTCATGAACCCACCGGGGCAACCCCGAAACCCTGACTGACAACACCTGCATGCCTGCTCAGCTACAGCGTCCACCGTAGCGATGGAGAACGCCAGCCCCTTGGTACAGTTAGAAACCTGGCTGTGAGTTTCCTTGGGCTCAGTTACTGCTGTCTAACCCCCTGGCTCAGTCACGGGCAGGTACAGGGTGAGTTGCTGTGTCTGGCACGTTCTCAAAACCCAGGAGCAGGGAAAAAGTTGTCCCATGAACCATGCGTGTGTGTGACCTTTCCACATTCCCAGAATGCTCTGAGCTCGATGGAACAGCCTCTGGCTCTAACTGTCCCCCTCTATGTGTCACGTCCTGCACCCAAGCTCCTGAGCGGAGGGGGAAGAGGAGACAGCTCCGCTAGTGTTAAATGCCCGCAAAGATGCTCAGCTTGACCCTACGGCTCGATTCTATCCTCAGCGCTGCTCTTGTCAACCTAGGGCTGGTGTAATCAATCGAGAGCCACACCCGCAGTAACCGGATTTACATCAGCATGATGGCTTTCCCATCTCTCCCCTCACTCAGCTGGAGGCAGACGAACTGCGATTGCTACTGTGGACAGCCCCCATGCACGCCCCTCCATGCCTACCCACTCCCTCCTCCCCAGGAATTTTGACCTTCTCTGCGTCTAATGCTGGGATTTGCCACACACCAGTCCCTTTGCAAACCGGCATGGCCCCACTGGAGAATTCGGGGAGGGGGAGGGAGGCAGGCTCCATGCTTACCCAAACCCATCTTCTTGGAAGGAGAGGGCTCTGCCTCTTCTGTGAGCTGGTCTACAGGGGCAGCACCGGGCATGGAAGCACAGGGGCAAAGCCGCAGCACCACGCCTCTGTTTGCAAATGTGTGAATTCCCTTTGCAAGAGCTGCAGCCCGATCTTTCCGTATGCCAATGGAAGGCGCTCAGCAAGCAGGGTGAAGGTGGTGTAAGAACGTGTGTGGGAAGAGGGAGGCTACGGCATAAGGAACGCACAAGTGAGGACTTGTCTGGAGCACCCACTAGGTTAGTACAAACCCTCCCCCTCAACTCGTGACTTCTTAGGAGCTGCTAAGAGTTTGAAGGCTCCTCTGGTCTTACCAGAGCTCTATGGCCAGCTAGATGCTCGTTTCTAATCTACCTACCAAGGATATAGCCAACGGTGAAAGCAATGGCCAGGGTCCCCAACGTGGCGCACAGATGCATCTCCCTTTCACGATTGGTCATCGGTTCACATGAGTTTCACTCCGTAAGGCTCTACGGCGCAAACCGACCCAACCCTGGTGCCTCATCACAGGCTGGGGCAGAGTAACCCAGGGGCCAAGTCTTGTTCACTGGCTGTAGGTTCTCCGCCTGTTCTATATGGAGGAAAATGTTTTTCCTGGTTTTTGCTTGGATGCTTCTTAACAGCTGTGAGGTCAGAGGACGCTGCATCGCTTGAACCGTTCTCTGTACATTCCTCAGCAATCCACACTGGGTCGGGGGTCCAAATACTCACCCCCAAATCTTCCCCGTATTTTCTTGGATGTTTTTTAACAGCTGTGAGGTCAGAGGACTGTGCATCGCTTGGACCGTTCTCTGTGCATTCCTCAGCAATCCACACTGGGTTGGGTGTCCAAATACTCACCCCCAAATTTTCCCTAACTCAAGGAACTCCTCATTTTCAGAGCACCAGTGTTGGCCTCATTATTCACAGGCCTTGTTATCTTCCCCGTATTTTCTTGGATGTTTTTTAACAGCTGTGAGGTCAGAGGACTGTGCATCGCTTGGACCGTTCTCTGTGCATTCCTCAGCAATCCACACTGGGTTGGGTGTCCAAATACTCACCCCCAAATTTTCCCTAACTCAAGGAACTCCTCATTTTCAGAGCACCAGTGTTGGCCTCATTATTCACAGGCCTTGTTAACGGCTTCTGGCTTCGAGTACTTCCCGAAGGCAGGTTTCTATTGCTGGCACCCTTTTAGCGTAGTCCAATTGTTGTAACTGTTGGATGAGTCGCCTGTAGGCTCACATCCCTACTCCTGAAAACAGCATCAGTTCAGAGGTAGACCGGCAGGTCAACGGGGAAGCCGAAGCTTCTGGAGTAAGGTGAGCGCGAAGATGGAGAGGAGGATTGCTTAGCAAGGAGAGGAAGGGCGCCTGCAGGAAGTTGACACTTCAGGTATGTCTAGACTACAGGGTTTTGTCGAGAGAAGTTTTGTCGACAAAGCTTCTGTCGACAAAGAGTGTCTAGACTACATCCAATTCTGTCGACAAAGCGAGCCGCTTTGTCAACATAACAGTGTGGACGCAAAGGACAGTGTAGATGCAATAATGCCTTCTGTCGACAGAACTCTGTCGATAAAAGGCGTTATTCCTCGTAGAATGAGGTTTACATATGTCGACAAAACTGCTGAGTTTTGGCGACGTTATGTCGACATAACTCAAAGGCAGTGTGGACACAGGTATAGTTTTGTCGACAAAACCCTGTAGTCTAGACACACCCTTCATCTCAGTGCTCGAAGGGTTACAAGACCAGCTCCTTTCTTGAGATTTGCTTGCGGCAAGAGGTCACCTACAGCACGACACTTGCTAACAGGCCAGTACCTGGGCAGATTGCTTTTACCGTAACCCTCTCTGCATGTCTCCAAGCTGTGGGGCGTTTCCCAGAGCTGTTTCGGCACCATGCAAGGGGAAGTTGACAGCATAAAGAATAGTTAGTGAACCCCCTTCTGCAAGGTGAGGGGTGGTAACTAAGCAACAGAGGGTGGCAACTTGGTGTGAAAAGTGACACAAGTTGTTTCTACATGCCTATAAAAGGGCACCACAAAGGGTAAGCATGAACCAACTTTGGGGGATGGGGTGCAATAGGCACTTGTATAGGTGAGTGTCATTGCCAACACTTGCAGAATGCACAGTGGCTTAGCGTCGAGACTTTCTGCTAACAACTGTTAATGCACGGCCTTTGGCAATAAAATTGCTCGACTGGTTTCATCCTTGCTTGAAGTGGTCATGTCCAGGAACTCTCAGAGGTCTACTGTGTTGACCCAAGCACACGAGGTTTAACGCTTTAGATAAGAGGGAGCACACGCACGCAGCCGAAAGTTTATCATGGCCGACAGAGTAGAGGATCTGTCATGAACCCACCGGGGCAACCCCGAAACCCTGACTGACAACACCTGCATGCCTGCTCAGCTACAGCGTCCACCGTAGCGATGGAGAACGCCAGCCCCTTGGTACAGTTAGAAACCTGGCTGTGAGTTTCCTTGGGCTCAGTTACTGCTGTCTAACCCCCTGCCACCTTCTGCTCAGCCTCAGAGTAGGGGTGTGTCTAGACTACAGGGTTTTGTCGACAAAAACGGACTTTGTCGACAAAACTATACCTGCGTCCACACTGCCTTTGAGTTATGTCGACATAACGTCGACAAAAATCAGCAGTTTTGTCGACATACATAAACCTCATTCTACGAGGAATAATGCCTTTTATCGACAGTTCTGTCGACAGAAGGCATTATTGCATCTACACTGTCCTTTGCGTCCACACTGTTATGTCGACAAAGCGGCGTGCTTTGTTGACAGAACTGGCTGTAGTCTAGACGCGCTTTGTCGACAGTATCTGTCGACAAAACTTCTGTCGACAAAACCCTGTAGTCTAGACATACCCTAGGTATTTCCATTAGTCGTTGCTAGATTTTCCGTTCTTCGTCTGAAGAAACATCAATTACAAGGTGCTGGACAGGATGTTCTGGTGCCAAAGGTTGGGCTTAGATCTCCAGTATACCCCAAAGGAAAAAAACTTCTTGGACTTTTACGGCATTGAACAAACAAGACAATATAACAACCCTCCTTCCTGTCATACCAGGCACAGTTCTGGTTTCTTTTAAAAAATAAATATTTATAAACAAAGGAAAGAGAGTTGAAGAACTACAATGTTAAAAACTTGCCTGCCAACTGCACAAATGTCTTTTGCATGTAAAATCACAAGAACAGATTGTACACCAACACATCAATATAATACACAGTCTAATGGCCCTCCCCTTTCATGCGCTGCTCGGGTCCCCTGTGCGGCAGGAAGCCACGCCTCAGATCACAGGGACCAACTCTTCCGTGCTGCTTGCCAGTGCTGGCTCTGGACGACTCAGTCTCCCTTGGTAATCAGGTCCTCAATATACGCGTCCAGCTCATCATCGGTATTAATATCGATGTCCTGAAACCAAAAGGCACAAGAGGAGATTACTTACCGGTCACAGGAAGTTCTTCGAGCTGTTGGATTGCTTTTATCTAGATTCAACTGGGGGTGGGACACAGTGGGACATGATAAAGGAAGTCCTTACTTTCCCTAAGTTCTCCACTGGACCCAATCCAGTGGCGCTCAGTAATTCTACTCTGCCCACCTGGCTCTCACCCACCTCCTGCACTTTCTGCAGAAGTGCCACAATATTGGTCCGCAGCTTCTGTAGTTTCTCCTCCGTCTCCTTGAGTTTTCGCTCCGAGTTGCGGAGGTTTTCCTCACATGCTTTGGCCCGGGCGTCAGCACGAGTCTGATAGGAATTGCACAAATTCTGCAGCCCCATTTCGTACTGTTTGAAGTATTCTTTCTGCGGGTGGCAAATAAAGTGAGTTGACGTGCTGTGAAAAGGGATGAGACCGATATGCCCCAAAGCTTCGCCCCAACAGAATTCCCACACCAGCTTAAATCTGCCCTTAGTTTCCTCCAGGATTGACTGGTAGAAGCATCCAGACAGCAGTATTATGAAGTTGATTTGCCTAGCACTAAACCACTCCTTTTATTTCAGCATCTGGTCACCTTCCATCCTATTTGTTTTTCATTAAAAAAAATATTCGTCTTAAGGAAAACTGAACGATGGGTGGAAAAACCCTGTAACGACCCAAAAGCTAGTTTCAGTTGCCTTGTGATGACAATTGGGTCTCTTCGCATTTCTAACCTTAAGCAGCATGACCCTTAGGGTAAGGTCAACTGGGAAGCCGAAGCTTCTGGAGTAAGGTGAGCGCGAAGATGGAGAGGAGGATTGCTTAGCAAGGAGAGGAAGGGCGCCTGCAGGAAGTTGACACTTCAGGTATGTCTAGACTACAGGGTTTTGTCGAGAGAAGTTTTGTCGACAAAGCTTCTGTCGACAAAGAGTGTCTAGACTACATCCAATTCTGTCGACAAAGCGAGCCGCTTTGTCAACATAACAGTGTGGACGCAAAGGACAGTGTAGATGCAATAATGCCTTCTGTCGACAGAACTCTGGCATGTTTTTGTACCTTGTTGAGTGTAACATTGGCACTCTGTGGACAAAAGGCATTATTCCTCGTAGAATGAGGTTTACAGCTGTCGACAAAACTGCTGAGTTCTGTCGATGTTATATTGATAGAACTCAGCGGCAGTGCAGACGCAGGTATCGTTTTGTCAATAAAAGTGGACTTTTGTCGACAAAACCCTGTTGTCTAGACACACCCTTATATATAGCCCCAGTATAGGTGGATCTCCATTTCTTGTAAATGATTGTTTGCTTGTTATATACAGACAAGTGAGAAGCAAAACAAACAACCCACCCCCCAAAAAAAACCCAAAACAAACCCCCAAATTCTCACTGACATGGCCCCTGACTGAGAAGGAAAAAGACACTCCCCACATTCCCGCTGGACATCAGAGCCTTGGGGGGCCTGGGCTAGTAGATTTCATGTGCTCCAGCCCCAGGGGGAGATGCTCTAGGGGAGAGCCCTGAGCTGCAGGGTCCACCTCCAGCTCCTGGGCCTTAGGTTCTCCACCCCCTGATGTATTGTATGTAGCATGTGACTTTTTAAGCAAAACTTTTAATTTTAGATAATCCAAGCATGACATCCAGATGTACAGAAATGTTTTGTTTCATCCTGTCTATTCTGTACATTTAAAAAAATTAGCTTCAATAAACTTGTTAAATCCATTCTTTCATCTGTTCATCAGAGTAAATAAAATGCGACATGATTTCAGCTTCATGAGCCACTGACTATTAAGTGTATTTGGTAGCTAAATAGCAAGGTTTACAATTTGTCTCAGATAAAAGCCCTCTAATCTGCTACAGTTACTTTTTTACTTCAGTCTTTGTTTTTATAGAAAAACATGGATTTTTCCAATTATGAGTATGTTTACACAGACAGGGTAGCATGATATTATGAAACATAAACTGGCATGCTGGAAGCTGTAATTCAATTAGAAAATGAAAAGAAAAATGTTTGAATGATTCTGCACTGGAATTGAATGTATTTCACAAGAAATTTTGTTTTTCTTAAAGACGTTATCTGCATTCAGTTAATAGCCATGATCTTGTATTTTTTCAAAGAAATTATAAAATTAAATCAAACGTATTTTTAAATGTAAGGATGGAAAGTAATTATATTTTGTTAAGAAAATCATGGACTGAGCCCAGGCTCGCTGCAGACAGAGGATGCTCCGTGAGATGCTTGGACCCTCCCATAGACAGGGGCTGCTGCTACGGAGCAGCTTCTGTCCGTGGTGAGCCTGGGCCTGCCACAGACAGAGGCTGCCCTGGTTTTACGGCATTGAACAAACAAGACAATATAACAACCCTCCTTCCTGTCATACCAGGCACAGTTCTGGTTTCTTTTAAAAAATAAATATTTATAAACAAAGGAAAGAGAGTTGAAGAACTACAATGTTAAAAACTTGCCTGCCAACTGCACAAATGTCTTTTGCATGTAAAATCACAAGAACAGATTGTACACCAACACATCAATATAATACACAGTCTAATGGCCCTCCCCTTTCATGCGCTGCTCGGGTCCCCTGTGCGGCAGGAAGCCACGCCTCAGATCACAGGGACCAACTCTTCCGTGCTGCTTGCCAGTGCTGGCTCTGGACGACTCAGTCTCCCTTGGTAATCAGGTCCTCAATATACGCGTCCAGCTCATCATCGGTATTAATATCGATGTCCTGAAACCAAAAGGCACACGAGGAGATTACTTACCGGTCACAGGAAGTTCTTCGAGCTGTTGGGATTGCTTTTATCTAGATTCAACTGGGGGTGGGACACAGTGGGACATGATAAAGGAAGTCCTTACTTTCCCTAAGTTCTCCACTGGACCCAATCCAGTGGCGCTCGGTAATTCTACTCTGCCCACCTGGCTCTCACCCACCTCCTGCACTTTCTGCAGAAGTGCCACAATATTGGTCCGCAGCTTCTGTAGTTTCTCCTCCGTCTCCTTGAGTTTTCGCTCCGAGTTGCGGAGGTTTTCCTCACATGCTTTGGCCCGGGCGTCAGCACGAGTCTGATAGGAATTGCACAAATTCTGCAGCCCCATTTCGTACTGTTTGAAGTATTCTTTCTGCGGGTGGCAAATAAAGTGAGTTGACGTGCTGTGAAAAGGGATGAGACCGATATGCCCCAAAGCTTCGCCCCAACAGAATTCCCACACCAGCTTAAATCTGCCCTTAGTTTCCTCCAGGATTGACTGGTAGAAGCATCCAGACAGCAGTATTATGAAGTTGATTTGCCTAGCACTAAACCACTCCTTTTATTTCAGCATCTGGTCACCTTCCATCCTATTTGTTTTTCATTAAAAAAAATATTCGTCTTAAGGAAAACTGAACGATGGGTGGAAAAACCCTGTAACGACCCAAAAGCTAGTTTCAGTTGCCTTGTGATGACAATTGGGTCTCTTCGCATTTCTAACCTTAAGCAGCATGACCCTTAGGGTATGTCTACAGTGCCGAGATTTTTCAGAAAAACGGCTGTTTCTCCGAAAAAAAACTTCGCTTACGTCCACACTGCAATCGTGTTCTTTTGAGAAAAATAAAATCGAAACAGAGGGGTTTTTCCAACATTGGTAAACCTCTTTCTACGAGGAAGAAGCCTTTTTTCAAAAGAGCTCTTTCCCCATGGGTACGTCTAGACTACAGGCTTTTGTCGACAGAAGTTTTGTTGACGGATACTGCCGACAAAGCTTCTGTCAACAAAGAGCGTCTAGACTACAGCCAGTTCTGTCGACAAAGCAAGCCGTTTTGTCGACATGACAGCGTAGTCTAGACACACCTGTAGTCTAGAGACACCCCATGTGTGGATGGGGAACAGGGAGTTCTTTCAAAAGAAGAGGAAAAAGCACAGATGTCCTGGTGGCCACTCCGTCCATAGCAATCACAGCTTACATGTGAGATAATGTCCAGACTGAATGGACAATCTCTTTCGAAAAAGCAGATTGTTTTTTTGATGTGCTTTTGTGGTGCAGACGCTCTTTCGGAAGAAGTTTTTTCGGAAGATCTCTTCCGGAAAAACTTCTTCCGAAAGAAGTCTGCAGTCTAGACACAGCCTCAGTGGAGTAGCAGAGGCACTTCCTGGTTCATACACCATCCATGGGTAAAAAAAGAGGGAGAAATGTTCACCTGTTGGATACCAAACGATCATTTTCAAACAAGCTCTGATTTGGTAAAATAAAAATGGTGTGTTTGTCTTTTCTCAAAAGAACGAACACTTCAGGCACGTCGGTTTAACCCTTCTATTCCCAAACCAGAAAAACCCACGAGCCGTCCGTTTTGAATTTGTAGACCCAGCAGAAGTTTGTGTAAAGGAGAGGCACTCAACTCACCAGAGGAAAAGCCATCAATTCTTCTGAACTCATGGAACTCAGCTCCTTTTTGGAGATGGGAAAATTCGGGGGCAAGAAGTACCGCAAACAATTCCTACCCAAGAAAAAACAAGCAGCCACAGGGATGGTTTTAAGTCTTGTTTGGAGATTGAAACACTCAGAAATTGTTATTGCCTGGAGCACCCAAGAAACCCACCGGAGCGTCTGGACTAGCAAATCCACAGTCTCCTGGTTGCTACTGGGACCAGTAGTGTCTGGCTCGATTCGGGCACAGTCAGAGGTTGAAGGCTCAGTTGCAACTTCCTCTTCTTCCTGCTGTGTGTCTGGACTCTGATACTCTGGAGAGGGAGGCTTCATCAACCGCACATCCTCACTGCCCTTCTCTACCCTGGAGGGGTCAAGAAGGAATCACATACAGCCTGTTCCAGATTAGCCACACTTGGTTAGTACCATCTCAGAGCCCCCCATCACTGACAACTGCTCCCAGATTAGAGTTTCTTCCACAGCCGCCCACTCATACAGACGCCTGTTCCTTACACAATCACAAAGCAACTTTCTCCAAACATTCCGGTGTACACAACCTTCCCAATGTAAGAATAGATTATTCCTCTCCTCGGAACCTGTGAAAATGTAACAGAGTTCCCTCACCCCTCCCTGCATCTCCAGAGCCCACGCAACCAAAAATTATGGTTAGTTACCAGCGATCTCTTGGTGTGGTGTCTGTCGGAACGTAATCGAATTTCACCTTCCAGCGTATGGCGTGCTTGCCCATCTCCACAGTCGTGACACGGCCCGTGAACCATTCCTTGTTCACTCGGACCTCCACATGCAGCCCTTTGTCTGAGACATAGGCAGGTAGATGTGAGGGGGTTTGGAAAGATGCCGAAAGCATATTTCACGAGGAAAGCTCATGTTTCCTCAGTACTCGGCTGGGAACGAACGTGAATTTACAGAGGCGAAGTTCCTAAGCTTCCTGTGTGTGGGGTGGGAATGACTTAAAACAGGGCTACTCAACTTCGGAAGCCTCGGAGGCCACAATGATATAGCATACGCCGAGGGCCGCAACTTAACTGTGGTTCTATATACACATGTAAATATACATGCAAATAGCTTCTTTCACACTGAACACAAAGATTAAGGCAAGACTACACAACACGCAGGCCCCATTTAAGTCAGTTCTGCTGATATTAATAAAATGCAATATTTACCCGATTTCCACCCGTATGACAGCACTTTTAACGAGCAATGACAGTCCAGGAATGTAACTACTAAAGCACATATCAACAAAAGACCATTATATTGACTCGCTGTTGTGGAGCGTGTTCCCGGTAGAGGCCATGTGCAGGCTGTGTGTTGAGCCCCACATAAACCCAAACCGTACTGCAGGCTGCGCACTGAGTAGCCCTGACTTAGAAGATGTCCATTAGGAGAAGTTATTCTATAACTACTCTATATACCAGCAACAACTATGTGTAACTACCACATACAGACAAAGAAACGAAGAGCGTGAAAGAACAAGGTTTCCAAATCAGGCCATGCAACATGACAAACAACCTGTTATCCTCTTAGCTACAAACTCAAGGGGACACATAATGAGCAGAGGTAACGGGCATGACTAAGGAAAGCTTCAGGCTCCGACATGGAAGAGCTCGTCAATGTTAACATAAATGTGCAGCCCCAAGGTTACAGGTCCCAGTAGGATCAAAGCAACTTTAGCCACAATCAGATAAACTCTACGCAAATTTCTTGGAGTTGGGCAAAATATGACTCTATTGGCACAGACACTGCGACTACAGGTTTAAAGAAGGCCAGCCAGCATGGCCGGGGCTGAAACGTGCTCCCTGCCCCTTTCACTGCCTTCTGCATACTGGTAAATACGAGCCAAGCGTAATGGTTTGCCTCACCTTTCTGGGCTCTTTTCAGATCGGCTAATTCCTCCTCCCCGGCACTGTCTGTGAGCTGTAAGCACAAAGAACTCATGTTAGCCAGCTCCCGAGGAGATAAGAGCGTGCTGGCTCCCGCCCCGCAATCCTCACCTCCACCACCACCTCGTTCGAGTCTTTCTTCTCCTCTTTCACGACCACAATTTTCCCTCGTTTGGTCTTCTCCTTTTTCTGCTCCGCCTCCTCCTCAGCACCCTCCTCCATGGCGTTAAACGTCCGCTTGCGGATGCTGGAAGCCTGCGGAGAGCAAGTAATTTCTGGCTGACTCTCACGAGCACCACCGACTGTCCTTTTCCAGGGGCCGGACTTTCAGATGCCTCTATACCAAGGGTCACCAACCCGTCGATTGAGATTTGTTGGTAGATCCTGGAGCTTCTGACATGTGATCCTGACTGGTTTGGTCGGGAGGCTACTAAGTGCCCACACTCCCCCTACTGCCTTCCATGCTCCCCCTCCTGCCATGCTGCTCCTGCCCTCCCAGGTATCTCCTGCTTGCTCCGCAGGGCAGAGGAGGGGAGCACTGATGTTGTCAGGGTACCCCTGCACACCGTACCCCATCTCCAGAAGTCAGGATAGAGGGAGTGGCACAAGGCCAAGGTGGGGGAGAGCCTGCCTTAGCCCTCCTGGGCTACTGCCAAGGAGCCACTGAAGTAAACTGTGCTCAGCTGGTATCCACACCCCAAGCCCCTGGCCCAGTCCTAAGCCCCACCCCCCGTACCGAAATTCCCTCCCAGAGTCTGTACTCCGAACGCCCTTGCACCCCAACTCTTTGTCCTAGGCACAGCCCAGAGCCCCTCCCACACTCTGAACACCCTGGACCAAGACCTGAACCTGTACCGGAGAGCCTGCCTTAGCCCTCCTGGGCCCCTGCCAAGGAGCCACTGAAGTAAACTGTGCTCAGCTGGTATCCACACCCCAAGCCCCTGGCCCAGTCCTAAGCCCCACCCCCCCGCACCGAAACTCCCCCCCAGAGTCTGTACTCTGAATGCCCTCCTGCACCCCAACTCTTTGTCCTAGGCACAGCCCAGAGTCCCTCCCACACTCTGAACACCCTGGACCAAGACCAGAGCCTGTACCCCATAGGTTCCCAAACTGGGGGGTGTGAGGTGACCCAGCCCCCCTTTCCACTCATCAATCCCTCCCAAGAAAGAGCCCAGTCCGTACGGTAAAAAAAAAAAAAAATTCAGAAAATACCATGTGAAATGTCCGGTATTTTCTGTTTTTCCTGACTCGGGCATCTGCCGGAACATGGCTTGGTTGGGGCTCATGGAGTGTCCCGGCGGGCAAACTTCAAAATGGCCGCCTTAAAAGGGCAATGTATGCTCTGCTCTTAAAAGGGCAACTTTTTTTTTTTTTTTGCTCAAGTTTTGCTGGGTTTTTTTTTTGGGGGGGGGGGGATGGGGGTTTCTCAAAAATCAAAAAGGGGGTGTGATGCCAAAAAGTTTGGGAAGCAGTGCTGTACCCCAACCCCAGCCTGAAAACGAGTGAGGATGGGGGAAAGGAAGGATGGAACAAGGAGAGCAGGGTCTCAGAGAACAGCTGGATGTCTGGGTTTGAGGGAGATCCTGGAACGTACTAACAATGCAAGAAGTGGTCTTGTGCTTAAAATGGTTGGGAGACCACTACTCTCCCGCCACCTACACACAGTAGCCAGGGCTTCCAGAAAGCTCAGCTCTCAGCCACTCCAGCTGAGAATAATGGGAGCAGCAGGGTGCGAAGCCATTTTGAAAATCGGATCACCGAAGACTTCCTACAGAAGGTCCTAGCTCAATCACAGGTCTTTTACTCCACGCCACAAGGCCATCAGCGTCCTACATCGCCATGCACCTGCTGCCATGTTTCTACTCCATGCAGGGTAGGCACTGAGAGGCTCAAGGAAGAAGCTGGGGCAAGAGATCCTACCGAGAATCCATGGCCGAGCTTTCCTCTAGCACAAGTTCTTCCACCCTATGCTGACGGGAGGAGGGCGCTCTCATACCTGGAGGCTGAGTAAATGCCGATCATTTCCCATACTATCAAACAACAGACTCACCGGCGGAGAAGGCTTGGCTGCTGCAGGTTTTTTCAGTACTGGCGTCTTTGTAATTTTAGGGCTGGGCGTCTCGCGCTGGCCTACAGAGTTCTGCAGGAGCATGGGGGGCGGCTTGGTGCTGTTGGACTTTCCCACCGTCACAGTGTGTTGCTGGGTCCTAGAAGTACCGGCTTCTTCCCTGGACAGCACGCTCGCCAGTTTGGGGGTGCTGATGGCCGGTCGGGCCAAGGGAGCCTTTCGCAGCTGGCTGATGGACTTGGGGGGAGGCGGTGGCGGCCTGCTGGGAGCATTTTTAATTACATCGGGTAACGGCGGCGATCGCGGGCGTTGAGGTCTGCTCAGCGACTGGGAGTCCTGGGAGAAGAGAGGAATAACAAGCCAGAAGTTGCTCTCGGAACAATTCCACGGGGTTCTGGAGAGGACAGATCTGCAGCAGCATTGGGTGGTACTCACCTCCACTATAGGCCGTGTGGTCACTTCAAGAGGCAACTTTTTCAGGTCAGCTTGGGACCGGATTGGAGTAGTTTTCTGTAGCAAGACAACCAGAACGAGGCCGCTTTAAAAGATGTCCGCGTTTTGCTGTATGATGGGGCTGACAGAACCCATCTTCCACCGGAGGCCATTCAGCACCAGGCAGAAGGGCAGCCGGCCCTGCAGCCAATCAGCGTTCAGCAGCCTGGTATATAAGGAGCTACTGAGTGAAGGTCAGTTAGTTCCTTCCTGGAGCTCAACCTGGCCAGCTGGGAGCATCAACACCTGGGCCAGCTCCGAGTGGAAGCTGGACCTTTTCAAGGAACCCAGGCTAGATCCTGCAACAGGAGGCTAGCCTGGGGCGGCGTGGAAGAACCCCAGGCAAGAGGGGAACCTTGGACCTCAACTGCCAATTGGACTGTGTCTCACCCAGAGTGGGCGAGGTCATTGTTGCGAGCCCCCCTATAGCCACTAAGGGGCGCTCGCTGACAGGATGAACCTGTTACAGGCTGACAACAGGCAGTAGGGGAAGGTTAAATGGGTTCTGCTGGCTCACTAAGGTGGGAGTTCACCATCTCATCCAACCTTAAAAAAAAGGGGGGCGTGACCCTCTAAACACAGGGCTGTGGGCTGAGCAGTCCAAAGGGAAGAGTCCAAAACGAAGGGAAGCCTCAAGTTTGAGCTGACCCTTGTTTTACTACAGCCTCTCCCCAAGTTACGAACGAGTTACGGACCAAACACTTGGTTACACGCAACCGTTATGTCGACAGAACTCAGTGGTAGTGTAGACGCAGGTTTTGTTTAGTCGACAAAAGTTCACCTTTGGTCGACAAAACCCTGTAGTCTAGACACACCCAATGAATGCACCAACCTCCTTCAAAATGGCCATTTTATTTTATATATAATAGAACCGGAAGGGACCTTGAGAGGTCATCGAGTCCAGTCCTCTGCCCTCACGGCAGGATTAAGTACCATCTTCTTCCATGATGCCTACAAAAAAACCTTTACAGCAGCTAGCATGCTGGTATTGAGACTATTACCTATCGTACTGACCAGAATGGTCACTGTTTCCTTGTATTATTTGGTCGGTCTATTGTCTTGTCCTGACGTGGTAAGTTCCTTGGGGAAGCAAAAACCCTTTGTGTTCTCTTTGTACAGCACCTGCCATAAGGGGGCCCTGGTCTGGGATTGGGCTCGGTAGTGCAAATCATGAAACGATTTTGGGATGAAAGACATTTAACTAAGTGTAATTCATTTGCAAAAGATGGCATCTCAGCCTCCCACCCCGCTCAGCTCTAGAGTCACCTGAAGAGCCTCCAGTTTCTCCTGCTGCTGGCGAATTTTCTCCGTCAGCTGCTTCTGCTTCTCCTCTTGAGACCGGATGTCCTTTTTCAGCACTCCCAGGGGAACTTTCTGCTTCTGCTCTGAAGCGTCACACCTACCAGTTCGGAAGACAAGCTCAACAAGAGACCAAAAAGTAACGTACAAAAAACTTCCACAGAGAGAGAAACGTTGGCCTCCAGGAAACCTAGCTATGTTCCTACTCCGATAACCTTAACATCAGAGATGAAGAGTCACAAATTTTAGCCAGATGCCTACAGGACATACTATTTAAGGAATTCTGCTTGGCTGCCTCTTGAGGCAGGCAGCCCTGCTCACCTCGTGGGCCTCACAGGCTGTGCCTAGACTGGCAAGTTTTTCCGCAAAATCATCTAATTTTGCGGAAAAACTTGCCAGCTGTCTACACTGGCCGTTTGAATTTCCAGAAAAGCATGGACGATCTCCTGTAAAATCATCAGTGCTTTTCCGGAAATACTATGCTGCTCCCGTTCGGGCAAAAGTCTTTTTCCGAAAGACTTTTGTGCAAAAGAGCCAGTGTAGACAGCATAGTACTGTTTCCCGCAAAAAAGCCCCGATCGCGAAAATGGCGATCGGGGCTTTTTTGTGGAAAGTCTAGATTGGCCACGGACGCTTTTCCGCAAAAAGTGCTTTTGCGGAAAAGCATCCTGCCAATCTAGACACGATTTTTCCAAAAATGCTTTTAACGGAAAACTTTTCCGTTCAAAGTATTTTCGGAAAATCATGCCGGTGTAGACGTAGTCACAATGTATACACTGATGGTTTTAGACTCCACCCATGGCCTTGTGGTGCATATGCCACACTCCAATGGTTTGATCCTTACTGCAACCGGACGGGTATAGAGTGTGGTGTTGTGGTTAGCTCTGGAGTCCACCCGCTGTGAAGGCTGAGCTTCACCAAGAACACCCGTTCTGGGAGGAAAGGCAGGACTCCTCTTTCCTATGCCGGTACACTGAAGGGAGAGCATGGAGGAAATACATGTGCTGAGGCAGTCTCTCAAAAAGACTGGAAAGAGAGTGTATGGAGAGATCCTCCCATGTGCGAGCGGACAAAAAAGAAGGTTGGTGAGCAGCTTGACTCGTACAAGTGCGTCTCTGGTGGCATCTCAGGGCTGTAGATCTAACTTTCATTTTATCTGCTCCTTACTGCTGTAAAGAACACCTTTGGAGAGCAACTCGGTGCTCTGCTCTCAGCCGGCGCCTGCCAACCATTAGAATCGGTCATTTCTTCCATTCGTCTCAATGGGCGTGTTGGCTCAAACCACATGATGTCACTTAATGGCAACACGGCTAACTAGTTCACTGAGGCCCGCTCTGGAGTAAAAACGTCTCAACTCAGTGGGACTGCGGGCAGACTCTTGTGATGTATGCAGAACGCCATCCTCTATCCCGTCCGATGGCCAGAACAGCATGGCAAAGGCACATCAATGCCAGTTCCCTACCTTGGCTTTCATACTCACCTGTCCTGCTCAGGGTCCGGGTTCATGGAGCATACCCAAGTATCTGGGTACTCCTTCTCCACAGAGCTCAGCTGGAATGGGAGTGTTCGCCACTTTAAACACATATCTGCCACACAAAATACACAGTCAGCATATTGATTCTAAGACACACACACACACACACACACACACACACGCACAAAATCCCCTAGGTTCTAAGAAGACCCATTTGGCCCTTGTGGACTTTCCAGAGCATTAATCGACTAATAACATCCCCTTCCAGCTGCAGAGACACTTGGCATTTGGGCCATCTTCCATCTCCCTCCAAGTCACTCGACTGTGTTGCAAAGTTTTGTTTTCTTTAAAAATACACTAACAAAATCATAAAAATAATTGGAATGGTGGTCAGGAAGGCTGAGGTCCCACAACTCCTAAGGTCTCCTTAAGGGTATGTCTACACTGTGCAGCTATTTTGGGATACCAGAGGTATCCCGAAATAGCTACCCCGCATCTTAGCAAGCCGCCCGTTATTTTGAAATATTTTTCAAAATAACGGGTGCACTATTTCGGCATCCCGAGGGTTAAGGGCTGTCTCGAAATAGCGCGTTATTTCGAAATGTGGCACTGGATAGACGCGCCAAATTTCAAAATAAGCTATTTTGAAACAGAATTGAAATAAGATGCGTAATTTGCGTAGTGCGAATTGCGTCTCTTATTTCAAGTTTAGGGTGTGGTGTAGACGCACCCTTGGCGAAGGAAGGGAAATCAGGAGGGATATTCTCATTTGATACTCATGCTATTCCCACACCATGTGCCAAAGGGAGGGAACACTCTGAAAGGTCCTAGACAATTCAGCAGGGGAGAATGGCCACCTGACCCCAAACCTGGTGATCAGTACGAGCCCAAGAATGCCACCAAGAATCATAGGGGTTGAAGACTTCTAGTGTCTTGGATGGCTCAATGTTCAGCCCCTCCACAATGGTTAGTCCTGCCCCGTAGCTGCTCTGCTCCCCGAAGAGTAGTTTCTCCTCCCTACGACACAACAATCCAACACCACCGCAATCAGACGCACCACACTGAATCGTGGTGGGAATCTCCATGGCTCGTCGGCGTTTGTAGCGCAGTTCACTGGAAGGAGGCTGGTTCCAGTTTGCTGATAAATAGCCAAACTCATCCCAAAACTTGATTATACCCCTCTGGGCTGGAGAAAAAACAACAAAACAAGAACGTTCATCATGCAGCTGCTCTCAGCTGTATCAATATAGTCCTTCTCTGGTACGGTTGGCCCTCTGTCCCACCAGTGACCCAGACTCCCTTCCCCACCCCAGTCAAGTTGTGAAGCCTTATTACCAATAGCAACATCCTTCCAGTACTGAGCCAAGTGGTCCCCCATCGCCCTCAGTAAGTGTCGATACTCTTTAGCGTCTGCGAAGTCCTGTTTATTGTGGGTAGGCTCCAGAACCAAGTAGGGGATGTCCACCACGCCTACCACTCCACCACATGCCCTGGGAGTGAGAAACAACTGTAACGCACTATTCACTGCCAACACCCACCATGGCACCTGACCACAATAAGCAATATCAATCACATACTACAACTAGCTGACTTCATGCGTTACCTCCTGCAGCAGTATGCTTTCAGACAGTGAAACCCTTTAATATTCGTGTCGTATCAGTCCGTTAATACCAGGGATTTAGGGCTGGATTTTTAGCGTCAAGTGTCTATTCCCAGGGGAACTCTATTCCAAACAATTCAAAATTCTGCATGCACTTTTAAAACGTTGCTTATTTTGTTAAAATAGCACAATAGAATCCACGGGAATCCCAGCCAATGTGGGGCTAACAGAAGCATGGCTGGGTTGCCATTCCCCGCCCTAAAGTAGTCACAAAATTTGCATGAAAAAATAAAATTCTATGGGGAACGTTAATTCTGCCCTGCACAGTGGCACAAAATTACAATGGGAGTAAATGTCTTTGTTTTCCCCGTTATGCCCAAAAAGTGCTTTCAAGTGTGTTCAATTAGTCCCAATAATCCTGCTTTGCCCAAAGAGTTAGTCGTTTTTGGGTACGTCTACACAGCGCAGCTATTTTGGGATACCAGCGGTATCCCGAAATAGCTACCCCGCATCTTAACAGCCGCCCATTACTTCAAAATATTTTTCAAAATGATGGGTGGGTTATTTCGGCATCCCTGCAACCCTCGTTCCACAAGGGTTAAGGGATGTCTCAAAATAGCGTGTTATTTCAACATTTGGCGCTATGTAGATGTGCCGAATTTCAAAATAAGCTATTTCAAAAGAGAATCGAAAATTGCACAAACTGCGTATCTTATTTCGATTTTAGACACACCCTTTATGACATGGGAGTGATTAACGAGTCAATGAACTGTCAACTTTAATTCTGCAGGCTTCTCTAGGAAAGGCCCAGTACCAACAGCTGGCACAGAGCAGAAAACCTTTATGTCACTGCTGGGAAAACGCCATCTCTACATGCAGAACCTCATCTTTATTGGGAAATCCGGGGCTTTCAAACATGTTATAAACGAGGACAAACTATGATTGAGGCAGATACGGCGTGAGTAACGCTCCAGAATCTGGAAGGAATGGTTCATACCCCCTCTCCAGCACTGCTGTACAAACCAATTTCCATCATCGGCAAAGGGAATTCGGAAAGTTTCTGAAAGGAACTCACATGCCACCCTCCAGCTGGGGGCCCACCTTCTCATACATCTTAATCAGTCGACTGCAGTTATAGATGAACATGCCATCCAAATCCCGCTGCTCGATATTCACCCCGAAGATAAAGTTTAGCTCTTTAGGCTCCTTCAGGGCCCTGGAACAGGAGGCAGCAAGAATCAGAAACCTCCATAGTGTACACAGAAGAAAAACAGGCCAAGATCAGCCCATTACTACATCCAGAAATTTGAAATCCACAACCAAGAAAACCCCATTTTTTGTGTCCATTTGAGACTTACTGGCATATTTCCTGAGGATATCAATGTTTAAATTAAAAAAAAAAAAATTTGCTGAATGCAAATTACAGGTTACAATCCTGCTTTGCTAACTACAGGTCTGGCACACCATGAACTGTGACTTTTTATAAAGGGGTCATTGTTCTGGCTTCTGTTCCCAATATTTTTCTTTTCAGCTGGAAAGAAAAAGGCGTTAGATTAGATCAAAGTCTGCAGTCTGGCTGTATGTTTCGTTGCAGATTTTGCCCTTTAATTGAAACCTATTCATTGCTCCGTGATTGATGGCTTGCATAACACAGCAACTGTGCTTTACACTCAAAACTGGGCCCAATTGTTCAATACATACTTAGCATTACACCTGTCAATTTCAGGACACGTGCCCTTGGGTTTTGTAGGATGAGGACTTAACGTTATTATAGACACTTATTTTCCAATACAGTTCCAGCACATTTCAAGCTGCTGACACACCCACGTAGCATATAAAGCAGGGCTCCTTTCTAGGCATTTTGGACCCGATTTTCAGAAGAATTCCACTTCCAGTCCAGTCCCTAAAGTGCATGGATTTTCACCAAGCAGTTTCAGTGAAAATACATCTCCTGTTGCAACTGCTGAGCACTTTTGAAACCTTGACCCCTCACATCTTTGACACCTGGGGATGTTGGCACCAGCGAGCGGTCCCATCGAGAAGGGGAGGATCAAAGACTGGTGCTGGCTGGGAAGCGGTGCTGTGTTCAAGGCAGGTCAGTGCCAGGAGTTGGAACAGTGTCGCTAATTCCGTGACCGCGATCCACACCCTTGGTTCGAACTAACGTTCCATCAAAAAATTAGGAGTAACGTTAGTTCGAACCAAGGGGTTTAATTCGAACAAACACGGCCCGGAATGCACTTTCACTTTTAAAACAGCACGTGGCCGAGATTATGCCGTTCATTCGAATCAAACCCCTTGGTTCGAACTAACGTTACTCCTCATTTTTTGATGGAAGTGCTTTCAAAACAGCGGGGTTCCAAAACAGCGCACAGCCGAGATTATGCTAATGAAGCACAGGATATTTAAATCCCGGCTTCATTTACTATTTCGAATGCCTACATTTGCATCCCTAGTTCGAACTAGGGTGCAAGTGTAGACATACCCTAAGATGGTAAGAAGAACCGAGCAATAATCTATACTAGGGACAAGCATGGCAATTACAAAGCAAGAGAACCACTATTCCAACAACCACCACAGGCAGTAAGAAAGAACTAAAGGAGAGGTCAGCAGGGTCATATATACTGTGCCATTCCAGCACCACTTCGGGGGGTGACCGGATGGTCAGCTGCTAAGGAAAATCTTCCGACAGCCATGCATGTGTGTACACGTCACTAGAACTGATATGAGCAAGCACTCAAAGAAGAACGTGTTATTTTGTCACACAGGGCTCTCCTTATCTCCCGGGACCTTGTTTAGTTTACAGGCGGCCCCCGACTTGCGACGTGATCGGTTCCTGGGGAAGCACTGCAAGTTGGGGGTGTCATAACTCGAACATGCATTTAGGATTGGCACTATGCGCGGTCATAAATGCGGGTTGAGGATGTAAGTCGGGGGTTTTCAGCCCCTTCCGCACTTACAAAAATGGTCATAAGTGCAGGGGAGGGGGCCGCAACTCAGGCCGTCGTAAGGCGGGGGTTTCCTGTAATTCTAGAAAGCAAACTACAGTTCTTCAATTAGGGACAATACTGCCTTGTGTAAAGAAGTCTTTGATTGCATAAGGATGGGAGCGGGGAGGGCAGAGAAAAGACGCACAAAGGATTTTTGCCATTGAAAGCTTAGGTTTTACATCCAAAATATATATTTTTGATTTCTGCGGTTAACTTCAATATTGAATTCTTTAAAACTTTATGTAGGGAAGCAGGATCATGTATGTTAGCTTTAAAGTCTTTCCAACTGCACACTCTGGAGTAAATGCATTGGTGCCGTTCCAAAAGCTTTCTTGAACTGTAGTCCTTAGTAGTTTCACATTTACCGTTGAATTGTGGGATGCTGCATTTCTAGGAAGAGATGTTTGCCTGGAGACACCAGGTGTTTTATGTTTATTAATATGGGAGAGTAGAACAGCATTCCCTTGGGCCCCATTCACAGAGGTTCACTTTTATGAAGCACTTCCATCAAAAACAAAAAATAATTAATAAGGGAAAAGACATGATATACAGGGGAATAAAGGAAAGCTGTCTCCTTTTGGGATTTCTGGTTCCCTGAAGTCACAGGTCTTCCAAGATCAATTTTAAATTCAAACTTTTCTCTCTCCTCTGTTGTCTGCAAGAGTGTCTATCTGGGCCCACATTTAGCAAGGTATTTAGGTCAACGCTTCCCGACGTGCAGTACTCTCAGGCGTGCAAAAGAATTGGGGAGGAAGGAGGGATAGACGGACAGACCTCTCAACTGTTTTCAAAGTCTCGGCTTTCATTTTAAATTGATGAGTCTCTAGAGGTCATGGTTATGAAAAAAAACACACCACCTTCAAAATGCGAAGCGAATATAATCAATACACAGACTTCCCCACCCCGAGCTTGCCAATCGCCTGAATCAACAGATCTGATGAATTTTATATGGGATCTTATTCAATGATGCCTTTGATTCTGTCATGAATTTGCAAGGAGAAAAAGGTAAAAGCAGCCCCCATCGGCATACTACAGTTTTCTTCTAGAACCCATCTACGGTAGCAAAACTACTGAGATGAAATCACGTTATAAGACAATCACGCAATCCTGCTGTGACATGGTTGGTCCGATCTGTGTCTACCCATGTTACTGAAGCCAGGTCTACACACACAAATAAGATGGACATTGCTACATCGCCCATGGCTATGCAAAATTTCATGTCCTGTGTACCGTAATCAGGTTGACTAACTCTCTCTTCCTTAAAAAGCGGCAAGGAGTCCTGTGGCACCTTATAGACTAACTGAAGTGTAGGAGCATAAGCTTTCGTGGGCAAAGACCCACTTCGTCAGATGCAGATTCAGACTAACACGGCTACCCCTCTGATACTCTCTCTTCCTTGTAGATTCTGTTAGGTCAAGCATAGAACTGGCCTGAGTCTTATTACAGACCTAGTGCCAGCACTGGGAAATGTGGTTAGAGTATGATTTGGTTCCATCCACTCAGGCAAAGCCAAAACATGCTGGACTTGCATTAGATTGCCACCTCCGATTACACTCTTCAGTGCCACCCTCATCGTCCAGCAGCGAAGGAAGTCTTTAGGACACAACAGCAGTATTTTCCAGCATGCAATACCACCAAAGGAGTAGGGAATCCCCCAATTCACCGCAATGGGAGAGAACTGAATTGCAAACAGGTAGGTTGAACTTTGTGGTAGTCATCGTAGTGAAGATGTCCAGCTAATGTACTTATCCAGAATAGATGTGTGGACCCCTCATGTCCTGAGTGTGCTTTCAATAGGCTGTTTTATAGAATCATAGAACACTAGAACTGGAAGGGGTCATCGAGTCCAGTCCCCTGCCCTCACGGCAGGACCACGCACCATCTAGACCATCCCTAATAGATATCTATTGAATCTGCTCTTGAATATCTCCAGAGATGGAGATTCCACAGTCTCCCTAAGCAACTTATTCCAGTGTTTAACCACCTGGACAGGAAGTTTTTCCCAACGTCTAACCCCAACCTCCCTTGCTGCAGTTTAAGCCCATTGCTTCTTGTCCTATCCTCAGAGGCCAAGGAGAATGATTTTTCTCCCTCCTCCTTGTGACACTCTTTTAGATATCTGAAAACCGCTATCCTGTCCCCTCTCAGTCTTCTCCTTCTCAAACTAAACAAGCCCAATTTTTTCGGTCTTCCTTCATAGCTCATGTTCTCTAGATCTTTAATCATTCTTGTTACTCTGCTCTGGACCTTCTCCAAGTTCTCCACATCTTTGTTGAAACGTGGTGCCCAGAACTGGACACAGTGGTCCAATTGAGGCCTTATGGGGATAAGAAGGCTGGTGTAGTACAAAGACTCCACTATTCCCTTCATTGCTGGACAATTAAGATGCTTGGTATTAAAATTACATTGATGGAGTGTCAGCCTGGGTCAAGAGAAGCTGGAAACGGCCTTGTACTCACCGCTGCTTTGCTTCCTTGATTCGCCGCTTGACATCCGCCTCTCTGCGCATGGTTATGGCTGTGTTCTGGACTTGCCGGAGCGTCACCTAAAGATGCAACACAACTCACAATAAGACCAAATTTAACACACATTTCTGTAGCGCATCTTCTGCCCAAGAATCCCTGAGAACTTTACAGGTTGATCTCATTAAGGTGTGGAAAGTGCTGCCTCTCGGATGCAGCACAACCCTTATTAAACCACCCAACACAACAGATGAGAACAGGGGTGGGGAACTCGTGGCTTCATTTCATCTAGCTCATGGCAAGTCTCCACACTGTTGGCTGGAACCCTGAGCTTTGGCGCCCCCTCCCATCCTTGGGGCTGGAGCTGCAAGTGCAGACATGTCCTGGTGGCCCCCTAGGCAGAGAGTCAACGAGGCAAGTTCTGCATGCTGCCCCCACCCTCGGCATGGTCTCTGAAGCTCTCTTGGGCAACTTTCACTTTTAACCAACTCCATGTAGCTCACGGAGCAGGGCTTTGAACAGACACCACTACCCCCCATGACGGAGCACCCCAGCAAACAAGGCAGATGTCTCACTCTGGAGTCTCGTGTAAGATCTCCCCCCAGTCGCAGTTCCAGTGCCCGGGCTTTACTCTCGGCCTCTCGAGCCTTCTCCTCCGCTGGAAGACAGACAAAGAAGGGATCATTTGGGAAGCTAGTTCTATGCAACAGAGGCTGGGCATATGCATATGAGCATACACGTACGAGCAGGGCAGCCAATCAGACACGGGGGTTCACTACTACCGATGCCACTACAGAGCAAGTCAGGCATTCCTACACTAACGCAGGACCCACACACACACCCGGGACCCACCTATCCGAGCCATGTGCTCTGCCTTCTTCACCTCCTGCTCCGCACGGGTCTTGAAACGGTTTGAAGTGTATTTATACATCCTGTAATGAACAGAATCGATTAGCGATCCTATTAGCCAGCTCAGGAATAACTGTACAAAGGCTACATGGAGAAAGATGGCAAAACGACAGCCCACAGGTTTTGCAATGTGCCTCGATCTACCATCAGCCTTAATAATTAGCTGGTCTAGAGACTAAATGTCTCCACATTAATCAAATTATGCTCTTCTCTCAAGCGGTCCTCCCACCAAAGTCTGCATTCCCTGCCCTATACTTGAACATTGTATTTAAAGTAAAACTGGGCAAATACAGACGGTCCCCAAGTTGTGAACGGTCAAGTTACGACTGTTCACATTTACGACCAAAGCTCCCATGGAATAGTCGTAAAGGCGGTCCCCAAGTTACGAATGCGACCCGCGCTTACGAACAGTGCGGTTGCTATGTAACTCAATGGGGTCCGAGTTACGAACAGATTGAGTTACAGCCAAGTGTTTGGTCCATAACTCGTTCGTAACTCGAGTGAAGATAGAGGAGATTTCTGACCTGGAAAAACCAGAATTTGTAAGCATTATTTCTTGACATTTGAATAGGTTCTATTCTTAGCTCTCCCACCAAGTCACTTTGGGTACATCTACACAGTAGTGTGCGCCCCAAAATAAGCTATGCAATTTGAGCTACACAAATTGTATAGCTTATTTCGAAATTTGGCACTATTTACACAGTGCTAATTTTGAAATAAATCGCTATTCCGGCATCTTCCTTAATCCTCGTGCAAGGAGGTTTACAGGAGGCCGGAATAAGAAGCCAGTTATTTTGAATGTATTTTGAAATAACAGACATGCTGTTAAGACATGCAGAACGCTATTTTGGGATAAAGGATGTTATCCCGAAATAGCACCGCTGTGCAGATGTACCCTTTGTGACCTGTAAAAATCTCTAAGGAATCCATATTCAAAATCAGTCACTCACTTTTGGCTTTTATCTAATTGATACCCCTTGGATCTAGTTTTTAAGAGGTGCAGAGAACCCACAACTACAAAGCCACTGGGAACTATGGTTTCTCAGCTGGCATCAAGAGCCTTCGCCACTTCTGAACATCTGGTCTTAGCATCTGCCTCCT